GGTGGTCTTCGGCTGTTTTATGTTTAGCCCAGTTCTAACGGGGTAATTCAACCAGGCCAGCTATGTTGTCTATATGCAATCAGAGAATAGCCCATAAAAGCTCCCAAAGACCATGAAGACCCCCAAAACCCCCAGTTTTTGGCATGCTATGGAGGCTAAGTGAAGGCCACTGTGTGTAATGGACTGGTCATCTGATTATAGCGAAGATCCCTGTCAGAAGATTACACCGTAAGGTCCAAGCCAGGTTATCAAGGTCTCATCTAACAATCTGCTTACGAGAGTACATTCCTTTGACATTGAAGTCACTTCAAACATGCAGAATGTTGTTACGATAGACCATGTGTAAGTTACGCAAACCTTAGCCGACCCAGCCGAACCTTAGCCGACCCAGCCGAACTCCAGCCGTAGCCGACCCACTCCTAACTATGGTTGGGTGGCGTTCGGCTGGTGTTCGGAAGGACAAATTCGTGAACGTGTGACTCCAGCATAAGCCAGTGATTATTGAAGACATAACCGCACTCCCCTAGAACAACGGACTTGCCGATACTGTAATTTAGATAAGATAGCCGGATGAACACCATTTTGTAGTAGAATGTAGTCTGTACAATTGTGAGAGAATTGAACTTTATAGATTGATAACATCGATGTTCCCCCACTTTCTAATACACTAAGTAATACAGACAAGTTCACTTTTCTAATGCAAACCTCTAATCCTTAAACAAGTATGCTATAATATATTTTCACTATCACAGAGAAACGAAGAGAATTCGAATTTACGTAGATTATATATAGCGCTAGTACTAGCTTAATCATGTATATTTGTTTTTATGCAGAAGCGACTCCTTTGTACTTAAAATCCAGTGGGGTATTTTTGTCTTCATTCATTCATTAAACCTTACTTTAATCTCCATCTGGCCGCGGTGCTCCACCTTAAACCCGCCCATCTCGTCCAGCGCACGCTTCAGCTCCGTACTGATGTGGATACGCAGGGCTGTAAGGTTGATATTCTGTTAGGCTTTAGTACTGATACACAGAAATAATAGAAAGGTTATTACAAATTCATTCCCTAGGGCTAATTGCAAGACCTTGAACGTAACCAATTGTCATCCGGCAGCTCGCTGCAAGCACCCGAACCGGAACCAACACGTCTCCCTCGATGGATCCGCTGGGGAAGACGGATGCCCAAGTGCGTGGGTCTCAGATTCGCAACCTGTTATCCACCTTAAACAAATCCACGCGAAGGC